ACGCTTCCGGTGATATTAACGTCTGCCGTCTCACTAATGAGGACATAAATACACGAACAACATCTCCAGAACTGCTCTGAGAGTCACTTCATGAGCATTTGACCGTTTCATTTGAGTAAAACTATCCTCATATCATATAAACACAGGAATGTAAAGGTATTCACGGCAACCCGTCAAAATAAAGTTTGGTTTAACTTGAAGGCATTGCGGCAGAAATATAATATATTACTATTGTTCAACAAAACCTTATTTTTAAGGAATAATCATACAATATTTCTTCAATGTTTTAATTGTAATATTAATTTACCTTTATTTTCCAAAAAATAAAATTTGTTAATTTTCATTACTTAAAAGATAGATTAAATGACTGTTTTATGCCTTAAAAATGTAAATACACAACACAGAATTTCTGAGCAAGAAATCATAAGGCTATTGTAAGAATAAATGAAAGTTGTTTTTATGCTTTCAAATACTTACTAAAACAGAATTTGGTAACAATAAAACATAAGGTTGGAAAAAATAAAACATTTCATAGGGCCCTAAACATGTATGGTGTACAGCGTTTATTATGAGGGGGTAGAATCCACAGCTCAGTACTCACTACTCAATACTCATGAGTACTTTTAAATAGGCTACTCTTTTACTCTTACTCAAGTAGTTTTTTGGACAAGTACTTTTACTCTACTCACACTACATTTTTTGGAAGGTAATGGTACTTTTACTTGAGTATATTTTTTCAGTACTCTTTCCACCACTGCAAACACGTGGACATGACCATTACAACCACCAAGCAACAGTATGTCCATCTTCAGCCCCTGAACGCCTCCTGCTACTGCATGTGGTCTGTAACCTAAAACTACTGTGTTATAAACATGACTCAAATCTAAAGTCATCACAGGAACTACCGGTAATAGGTGCTTCTTGACAACTCTGTTGCATTTGCGCTCTGTGGCGCGAATTTGAACTCCGTGCGCACGGCACGCCTCATCAAAACACTCCAACACGAAATGTTTTTACTGTATATTTCACATAAAGTCTTTTGACATGTAAGGTCACAAAGCTCCCTAAACACACCCGGGACTGCATATAGGTGGAAAACCTAAGTAAAAAGGCGAGATGAAAAGGTAACGTTAGTTCGGAGGGTTAAATATCAAGACGAGTCTTCGCTAGCTCGCTTAAGCCTCTGCTAGCCACATTCCTCAGGAACAGTTATGCATTTCTACATTTTTTTATCACTCCTGCCCATGTATTTGGTAAGTTAAGCACGTAGGACTTCTCTAATAAAAGGGCTCTGCCAAACACATCAGCAGAAACTCCCCAGCAGAGTCGTTCGTGCGGTGTTTTGAGAGCTGCGTATGTGAGGAGAGTCGTTAGCCTCATTCATTCCTCTCACCTGTTCCTCCAGCCTCTGGATCTCCGCTTCATTTTCGCGCTCGTCTTCAGACGTATCCTCTTCATCTTCCTCCTCGGAATGCTCAACTCCCATCCCTTCTTCTTCCTCCTCCTCCGACTCCATCTCTCGCTCCATGCCCTCAGCCTCCTCTTCGATATCTGGCAACAACGTCTGCTCTTCGTTACCCGACGCCGCCATGTTGAGTACTATCTGCCTGGAAACAGAGGCAGAGGGCTCGCGCACACAACACAAGAACTCGCGCGAAAAACAGGGAGCTCGTGCAGCGAGAAGGCGTGGCTCAACTACATGCTTTGGCTTTCCAACGAAATTCTTTGTGGTGGTTTGGAAAAGTCTCATTCTTCGTCTGTCAATATCTGTTTTTCCGCGTTTTTGTCCAAAGCAGCGGTAATAAAATACCGTGACGTTCTCAAATATAGCCAGTGCTGGGGAGTAACCAGTAACATGTAACGGAATTATGTAGCCTAATTTAATTGCAAAATAAATGTAACTGTAATCTGTTACAGTTACTGAGAAAAATGTGTAAATTCTCAAATATAGCCAGTGTTGGGGAGTAACCAGTAACGGAATTATGTAGCCTAATTTAATTGCAAAATAAATGTAACTGTAATCTGTTACAGTTACTGAGAAAAATGTGTAATTAAATTACAGTTATCGTTACTTATGAAAATGTACAAAGGGGGTTATCTGAATATTTTCACTCACCTACAGATTTGACTGATTTCCTTCCAAAACTGCGTTGACTTCAATGTTTCAGGAGTTTAGGACACAGAATAGGACACATGCTTATTAACTGTTTTATTTCCTTTTCGGGTTTATGTATATGCTTTCTTTTTTAAATTAACTGTTTTTTTCCAAAGCATTGTTAGATGCCTGTGTTTCCTGTCATAGCTATGCAAAGATTTGTTTTCGAAAACAGTACCATAAACTAAACTATCTTATGATTTTTAAATTCGCATTTAACCTCAGAACAATCTCAAAGTAAAAATAAATACTAAAGTCTGATTTTGTGGTAGCCTGCTTTCAAATTAAATGATTAATAATCTTAATTCAAGGGGAAAAGGATTTTGAAGTCTGACAGTAATTAACAGTTTAGGAAAAAATAGAAACTTAAATTTAGAAAAGTTATCAAACAATAATAAAATGTAATCCGTTACATTAACTACTTTATAATAAAGTAATTGTAATAGTTACACTACTTATTACATTTTAAATAGAGTAACTTTCTGTAACATTTCCAAAGTAATAGGTTACCAAACCTTCCCAACACTGCATATAATCTACATGCAAAATGTGAAATATTTAGTATTATTATTGTAATATAAGCAAAAGTTATATTTATACATTTTATATATTTTTTAAGTTCACGGTGAAATCGCTCCCCCTGCTGGTTGAGTTCCATGAGTTAACGGCATGTAAACAGCAGTAATATAAAAGAGGCTACAGCATATAGAAATACACAGCTACATACAATACAAAGATGAAAAGTATATTATTTATAATAAATGATGACTAAAATGTGAGCAGTGCAGTGAAAGCGCTCCTCTGCTGGTTGAGATAGATATAGGCTGCTATCGTTTGAGGGCTTAATGTTTGCTTGTGTAAAACAGCGGTGATAATTATAAGGCAGAAATTATCTATACAATATAATCTGAAGGTAAAATGTATAATATTTGTAGTTTAAAAAATCACTAATGTATAAAGTGTAATACATTTGTCTCCCTCTGCCGGTTGACCTCTGTTTATGCAGTAGCGTCAGTAGTCAGTCATCATGGCGTTAGCAGCGGCAGCCAAGCGCTGTGCATCTTCTGCACTTTTCAGTAGATCTTTGCCATTACCAGAGCTCAGAACAGCCTGCTCTTATCATAAAAAGGTACGTGTCACTTTTTATTCTTACTGCCGACCGTGGCACGAGAATTGTTTTAGTTCCTAATGTTTGAGAACAACTTTCAACGTGGTTGCTGCTAGCTAAGCTAACGTTAGTTTACTGCGTATGTAAACAAACCAGCAGAGCACTGTACATGTACGACAATATTTTCGGCAGTCTGAGTAGAAAACACGTAATCAGCTGGACTATGTATTTTTGACGGAGTTAAAATGACATTCATCCATATTTAGAGTTAGTTTCATAATACACTTGTGTAACTATCCTACAAACTCACCAGTGATGTCTTACAGTAACGTTACGTTATCTTAACTCTGCCACAGGTGAATAAACCTATATTTTAGTAAGTACACATACACATTTAAATAAGTGATTTACTAAAAGATTAATAATCTCTGTTATGAAGGTCACTGTTATCTATCAAGGGCACGTTTTCTTTTGGTGTAGACTGTTATCACAAGTCCTCTGATGAATGTATTTGATTGTTAAATATGATCAGGATGTAGTCATGTTTTACATGTCTTACATATCATACTTTTTTTCTGAAGGTGGTGGACCACTATGAAAACCCCAGAAATGTTGGTTCTCTGGACAAGAATGCCAAGAATGTAGGCACTGGCTTGGTAGGCGCACCTGCATGCGGTGATGTTATGAAACTACAGGTAAGACATTTTTGACATTTACATTTCAGTGTATGTGTGTGTGTATATATATATATATATATATATATGTACACACACACACTATTTACATCGGTGACTTTTTGTTGTCAACCTGTCTGACAGATTCAGGTGGACGAGAATGGCAAGATAGTAGATGCCAGATTCAAAACATTTGGCTGTGGCTCAGCCATTGCTTCCAGCTCACTGGCCACAGAGTGGGTGAAGGGAAAATCGGTGAGTCATTGTGACTCAGACCATTGCATAAATTCACAGTGTCATCAGATGATCTCATTGTGCTTCATATTTGTTCTCTCAAGCATTCCTACCAACATTTCAATGTTCTCTTTTCCATGTACAGATTGACGAAGCCCTGAAAATCCAAAACACTGAGATTGCCAAAGAACTTTGTTTACCACCAGTCAAACTTCATTGCTCTAGTAAGTGTATCAAACTGGCTGTTTGAGATTGTAAACACGTTGATGACATAAAAAAAAACATCAGATGCTCTGATTTCATAATCTTTTTTGTTTTTTTCTGGCAGTGCTTGCAGAGGATGCCATCAAGGCTGCATTAGCAGACTACAGGCTCAAACAGAAAGACGACTAGGAGACGTTGGCGGAAGATCGAAATTAATGTCCTCATTCACAGACGAGTCACTGTCACCCACTCTCATTGTGACTCAGAAAATGTTTGTAGTTTATATGCTTTCTGAGGATAAAATAAACACATTAGCCAGCGTATACCATTGCTACTCTATTCGCACTGCCTTTGCATTGCTGGTTTGAAGTGGCTTGCATTAACAGACTGTGAAGATCTTTTGGATTAAAGTTTTCTCCTGTATCTCTGAATCACGCACATTAAAATAAACTCTTTATTTCCTAAAGATCTCATACTCTCACATTAAATGTCCTCTATATCAGATACATACTACTGCAAAGTTTGTAAATGTACTCTACTACACGTTATAAAAAGGAAAGTAGGGGATTTGAAAAATGTCTATTTGTTTAGATTTTCAGCGGGATCATTATAGTTTTGGCAGTGATTTTGTAAGCAAAAAAAGTCACACGGAAAAATTTTTTTTTTTACTTTGGTGCTGTATTATTTGTTGCAAAAACTTAATAAAGCTATAAATATTCATGTTGCATTCTCCATCATTTTGTATTATTCTCTACACAAAATATTTGCTATAATACAGGTCATGAATGTGTGCTAATGTCTTCTTGAACCTGTGGAAGCGGTGCAACTCTCAGGTTTCGTAGAAGGATGTTCTTCAGTACCAAAAGCACTGTAAGCATCAGCAGTCCTGTAAGCACACAAAGAACAGCCAGGATCGCAATGAGCGCCGGGTCACTGGACTGTAGTATTGTCCGAGGAGTGAGTTCAATGTCTCTAGTTGGGGTCATTGAACCAGTAGATGTGACAGTGGCTGATGCTCCTGGTGGCTTACCTGTCGAATTCTCCACACAACCAGCTTCCTCATCTGTGGCTAGACTGTAGGGTACTTGGGTGGATTTGGGTATAAAAGATGTCAAATTTAGAGAGAGGCAGTCTTCGTAGCTCAGTCTCTCTAAGGTGGGCTGGTCTGACCCAAAAAAGGACCTTGATATTGTGCTCTCGGGTAGTTTTGAAGATTCTCGACTTCTGAAAGAACTCGTGTTGCAAGCAGTGTCAGATCTAACCAACATAGATGCACTTACAGTCTGTTCTATATGACTTTCAACCACTTTCCCAGATTCTGTATTCACTGATGTTGATATTCTCTCAACAGGCTTAAAAAGTTTTGGACAGATGGCCATGACTGATAGAGTTAATAACAACTTCTGTGCGAGGTGCAAAGGAGCTGTACATACTAGATCCGTCGCCATCCGTAACCTGTCTGTCAGAAGCCATCTATAAAGATACAAGATGTCACATTCACAAACCCACTGGTTATTGGCTAGTTCCACTGATCGGAGTCGGGACAATCCATCAAAAGCCCGCTCGGGTATAGAGCGCAAACAGTTACTGTTAATCTTTAACACTTGTAGGTTCACTAGTGCACCCAACGAGGACAGATCTAGGGTAGATATGCAGTTCGCTGACACATCCAGGTGTATTAGCGAAGGCGGCAGGTTTGGTGGCAGACGAGACAATCTGTTCCCCTTCAGAGTCAACATCCTCAGTCTGGTCAGACCTTGCAGTGCCCCCGGCTGAATTGCTCGTATCCGGTTATCCTCCAGATCCAAGCGTGTGAGGTTCCCGAGCTGCCTCAGAGACCCAGCGGTGATGTAGGTGATCTGGTTCTCCTGAAGCTGAAGGGTCTCCAGACTTGACGGAAGCCCACGAGGAAAACGGACCAGTTGGTTGTGGCTGAGGCTCAGCTCCTGCAGGCCAGAATATGGCTGGAACACATTATCCACGTTGCAAAGCCGATTCCGGGCTACGGAGAGGACGGCGGTGCTTAGGGGGACGGAGCGAGGCAGAGTATGCAGGCCAAGAGACTCGCACAGAACCAGAGCACCAGGACTGGGACAGCAGCAGCCTTTGGGGCAGGGGGATACAACAAGGCCAGCAAGGAGAGATGAACAGAGATACAACAAGAGACAGCAGAGAAGACTAGGACGCATGGCTCACTTGAGGGAAAGGATCGAAAGGGATGGATAAAGGAAAGGGGAAAGTAGAAGTTAGTAACTGCTTTTCATTTACCACAAATGAATCAGTTGAGCAAAATGAATTACCATGATGGACTCTGCAGCTCCTCCAGGACGTATTTTCCT